CTGGTGCCACGCTTCAGTCTCCTACTCTGCAAGTTAGATGCCAGTCCTGTAACGGGACACTGGAACCAAAATAAGCAAATATTACCTGTTGCATAGTCTCAGAACCTGAGAACTGAGTGCATTCCTCCACTCAGAGGGCAGCGTAGAGATGTTCCAGCTGTTAGCTGAAACTCCTGAGCATCACTCTGCAGTGTAACTGCTGAAAGAGTGAGCTCTTTTTTGGTTCCTCACACTAGAGTCTTACTGAACTCTGCTTTTTTTTCTCCTAAGATTTTCAGGCACATTCGTAGGCAACGCAGAATCCACATCTCCTCCCCCAGCTGCTACTTCTCCTCCAGCTGTTGCTGCTGCCACACTCCCTGCTGTGCCTACTATTCCAGTTGTGCCCACGATTGTTGGGGTGCCTAATACTGTGGCAGAGAGTGTCCTGAACCCAAATGAAGTCAAGCCTCCTGCCAGTGGGACGCGGAAGGCCAGAGTCCTCTATGATTATGAAGCAGCTGACAGCACTGAGCTGGCACTTCTTGCAGATGAGGTTGGTAGCTTTCCTTCGCGTTGAATTTTGCTGTAACTGCCTAGCAGCCCACTGCGTGCTCAGCAAGGTCTTGGTTACTTTTCCTCCCCCTAAAATCCCTGTTTTATGGAACTGCTAATAGTCTTTTCCTTGACTGCTAAGTTGCAGTGAGCTTGTGCTCATGGCTATTTGCTATTTAAGAATATCACCCCAATAACTCTTCTGTTCCTATTGGAGTCCAGCTGTACCCAGCTAACAAAATACTCCAGTACTTAGTATCTTCGCTGTGACCCTCAAACACAGCTACTTTATCTGAGAGCAATGGGATAAGCTGCTGGCTGAAGGCCTGGTCTAATCATGCTGAGAAAAAAGGAAATTCAGCAAGTTGGAAACTCTTTTATTGACTAGTCTGAACTTTTGTATTCAGGAGGGATGACATAGCAGTATTGTGCCACCCAGTACGCAAAAATACCTTAAGTCACTTTGGAGAACGAAAAGGCAACAGGGACATCACTGGGCAGATTTCTGTTGCTCTTCTATTAAAGCTGCAGATAGCTCCGGGAAAAGGGCACAGATGCGTGTTAACTGAACTTCAGAAATTAACTTACTGTTCTTTCAGTCCCCATCTGACTGAACTTCTTAGCTCTGTTTGCAGAGTAGGGTCCTGTCTAATGCTGTCTTCTCTCCCCAGATGATCACTGTGTACAGCCTGCCAGGCATGGATCCAGACTGGCTCATAGGGGAAAGAGGGAACCAGAAAGGGAAAGTTCCTGTCACTTACTTGGAACTGTTAAGTTAAATGTCTCCAGGAAGAAGAATGTACAAGCAGAATGCACCCCTCATCTCCTGGCACTTCTAATGCGGATTTCTTCATCCGAGACCATTGCTCTCTTCAGGGTTGACACTCCATTGCTAATATGAGAATTGTGGGAAAGAAGTGGCAAAACTGTTGCAGTAAGGTTTTGGGAAAGGGCTGATGGCACCTGAGACTGAAGTTATTAACTACCAGTGCAGCCTGCTTTGAGGTTAGTCTTGATGGTGCAAGATTCCTTGATGACTTTTTCTACCCTACCCCAGTCTTGTTTATTGCAGTGGCTTCCCCAGGGCCGGCACGCTGTCTCCCTCAGCAGCTCCTCCTGGAGCTTAAGTTACACTTCCCTTGTGTCTGGTGTGGGTTAGTGCCTGTTTGCCCCTCCTGTCCTCTCTTCTTCAGCAGTAGAATTGCCCAAGTCAAACCATCAAGCATTCCAGTGGGGAAGTGTCCCACACAGACCCTCCAACAGGTTCTAGCTCTTGAGGCAAGGAAGCTGAATTCAAGAATTAAGAGCCTGTTAACCCCATCCACCTTGCTCACCTGTGGGAGAACAGTAGTGCAGGGCTCTCTAAGAGCCATGCTTGCTATCATGGTGCCTGATGGCTTCAATCTAGAACCGTCCTCTGAAGCTAGAAAGAAATTTGTGAAGAACACCCTAAAAACATAGGGCCTGTATGTCGAAAATCAAACCTCAGTGCAAGGGACCATGCATCTTGCTTGCATTTCCTCTGAGAAACTGCTCTTGGACTGCAGAGTTTACAAGCCTTTTTACAAGCTTTGCTCCCTGTGTTAATTGTCCATGCTTTTCTTTCTGTGTGTCTGTTCCAGGCATGTTTTAGCCTGACTTTATTTTCACCCTAGATCACTGATTTAACTAAGGCTTCCCCTCCTATCTCAGCAGTGAACAGACTTGGTGCATGCTAGTACAGCAAGGGATAGTCCCACTCGCTGTCACCTCCAACGATGAGCTGTTCTTGGCCACACACACACACTAAACAACCCAGGCTGCCCTTGATGGCTGTGGTGGTTTAGCCCCCAGGAGTGCTCAGGTGTGTACACCTTTCAATCCTACAATGAGCTTTTTCGCTAGAGCTCGCCTGAAGGACTTCTGCTGCTGTGTAACTGGTTTTCCACACAAGCTGGATGGAAGAGAAACTCACCTGCACCAAGCTCTCTGTTCACTACCTTCCCCCGGTATGTCAGAACTAACTTTGCTTGTTTATTGATCTTTTGCACTTTCCCCAATGGTATTGTGACCACTCTAATGTAACAGGGCACCGAGCACCTGTGTATGTAGGGCTCATGGTTTTCAGCACTTATTTGCCAATAAACAAACTGCCTGACCTCCTGCCTCAGCATCTTCTGTGGGTTTGGGGCTGCCCTTGCTCTCCAGCCAGGTGATGGCAGGCTGTAGGGACGAGCAGCACTGGCAGGGAGACAGCTCAGGTGGCAGCTGTGCTGTTCTGCTACCCCAGGCTTGGAAGCCGCGGGTAAAAGTGAAACAAAGCTGCTCATTCTTCCTGCCCCAGCGGAAACTCTCAACATGCCTAAGGTTGTTAAAAGTCTTGCAGTTCCTCTCCTAGATGACACATCTCAGTTGTACTACAGCTTCAGGAACTCTAAGAAAAACTAGCTCCTCCTTAACCTGAAGCAGAAATGGAGCAGCAGTATGACTTTAGCTGCTGAGAGACTGGAAATGCTATTCTAGATCTAACAGACTTTTTTTGTTGTTATGGAAACTAGATCTGCTGCTAAGTTAAAATCCTAAAGCCTTGTCCCTAGCACCCAGCTTGGAAGGAACTCCTGGGAAAAGCAGCTGTTGAAATGGTCTGTAGTGTAGCAACAGCACTCGCTTTTTCTAGTTAAACTCAAATAAAAGGGAATGGGCAAGTCTCATCACGCCACTGTTTTAGTGAGTTTTACAACTGCCATGATTACCACTACCCCTGCCTATTTTCCTTCCACTTTCTGGTATGTGTACCTTTCCCTCAGGCCACTGACATCCCTGTTACACCTCTCCCTGTTGCATTAAAGAAAGAGGAAGAACAGCTTTAGCAAAACCAGCAGCAAATTAATGATGCAGAAAATGGTGTCTCTTCCCTCAGAACAGCCACAAGTCAAACTGTTCCTGGCAGGAGTGCTCCTTTCCCTCTGCATTAGAAAAGAGCACATGGAAAATCCAGTGCTACTCCTAACTGGCTCTCTACAGGAAGATTACACTCTCATGCTGCTTATTTGCAGATGTCACAGTGAGCCACCCTTGGCTGAAGGCTGTTCCGTGCCCCTTTGTGGCTGAGGGGCAGGTAAAGGTACAACTCAGGGTGAAATGCTGCTGTCTGAAGTGAAGCTACAGCTCTAAAACACAGAGGTAACCAACAGCATCCACTGTTCTTTGGTAGCTGGCACCACGGACTCCTGCCTAGCACCATAAACTCACTCTAGTGCCCAAGTAATGTACTACTTCCCCCTAAATTCTCATTCTCTCCATTCTTCTTGAATGCTAGTAAAGCGATTAGCACTCTGCATCTAACTTCAAAAGCTGTAACACAAGGAAAGATACCTACCAGAGCTATCAAACAACAGCCCTAAGCAGGACTGAACTTGCTTAGATGTACTGAATTCTGGCTTTACTTCCACTCCCCAGAGCTACCCTCACCAATTCACTATCTTCTCTGCACAGTCCCTCACCTTCAGTTCTCCATGTTCACACTCATAGTCCCTGTGGCAGGTGGTGTTAATGGTTACAGGTAACCCCACCTAGATACTCAGGCTTGCGACTGTCACACCACCTCCCTCGCTGTCAGAGCAGCTCACCTGAGCTTTTGGAAGGTAATCAAGCCCCTCTGCCTGCTACTTTAAGACCACTTTGCTCCAGCCAGCTAGTTCAAATCTCTCCAAAGCCTCCAGGGCAAGTAAAACTAGATCAAACAAGTGTGCTAGAATATCACCATCCTTGTAAGCACAAGGAAAAAAACCCAACAAACTCAAAAAACATAATCTAATTTTCTTGCTTTAGTCTCTTAAAACCATTGAGATTAAAAGGGTTGACTGGTAAAGCAATCAAGTGTCTCTTTAGGAAAGAATTGGTAGGTTACTAGCTCACGGCTACATTGAAATTTGATTTCTTACCTTAGAAAAGTCTGTCTGGGTTTCAGGCTTTATTTCAAGCAATAGTCACTGACCTTCTCCGAGTGCCTCCGTCACACATCGAGCCTTGGAACCTTAGTTTGTTGATCTACTTGGGAAAGCTGCAACAGCACAAAGCAACTTCACTGTAGACAGTGTCTGTCTTCTAGCCAGAGCCTGTGCCCTCCCCGGCTGCTGCAACAGGCAAGAGCAGCAGCTTGGACCTGTGCACAGAGCAATCCCTGCACATGGTCCATGCCATCGTGTGCAGAATGGTTCCTGAGGAGTATTTTATAGTGATGCTTGTCTAAAACCTCCTATGAGTTCCCCAGTACGAGACTAAGAGAACGGGATTGGGCGTGGAAAAGCCAAGGGAATCAACCTTTGATGATAATCGCTTCCAACGGTACCTGGATTGTCACAAGCCACAACTCACATCGCTGCTCGCTGGGACTTCAGCCCGGTGGACGCAGCAGAACTACTACACAGAAGATGCAGAACTGGTGCTGCAGGCTGCTGTGCCCAATGCAAAACCATGAACCCAGCTGCTGTCTATAAAGGTTTTAATATCAGTATAAATAGGGCACAGTTACAAAAAACTGCAAGACTGGAGCAATGGAATTTTGACTTAAAAATATTGCGTGAGGCCTTGCTCTTCAGAAACACACACAACACACAGACTGCAGGGTGAGGGGAAGGCGTGAGCACACATACACCATCTCGCCTTGAACCATTCCGTACAAAAATAGCAGTAGAAAGATGGTCTCTGAATTGCTGGCTGATCCCTTGGTTGTGCCTTGACCGGACTCTGACTGCGAAGGAGAGGCAGCTTGCACCTTGTGTTAAGAGCAGAGCTAATGCCCAGCGGAAAGTTTGTCTCCCCTCTCCCTCCAGCCACAGCGTCCCCAGCTGAGGTACAAGCTATAAAAATAAAGGTTTTGGCTGTTCAGCACTATACCCAGCCAGGATGCTCTGGCAGATGCAGAGGGCAGGCTGTGCACGTGGGCTGATCACTGGAGAGCCGCTCTTGGCTCTCCTGACATTCGCTCTGCTACTGGGTTGCACGAGTTCAACGGGATCTGGCTGCTGATGTTACAGCTTGGTTTACACCACCGCCCACGCCAGGCCGCCCTCCCTCTCCCAGTCCTTGTTACGAGCTCTGCCAAAGGTGATGCCTTCCGCGGTGGATGTGAATTGTTCCGCTGCAAGTCCTGAAAAGGGAGGCTGGGGCAGGGTAGAATCTATCTCTGCACGTGCCGGACAAAGGCCTGCACGAGCTGAAACAAAGGCTCCTGCCCCTCAGGACCCAGCTTGGAGGCAGACTTTCCTTGGGGAGACGGAAGAACTCCGCTGGCAGGTGAAGAGGGACCACCGCGGCGGAAGTAACGAGACAGGCTGGAGAGCAGCGTACTCTGAAATTAGAAGGATGGAACAAGTTAGCTACTTTCAAACACATGCCCCTCTCCCTCCCCAAACTGGAGCTGGTGGCACAGGAACAGGTACCAGTTACCAGTACGTGCATCCCAAGATGCCGAAGGCTGTTCAGAGATGCTGGGGAATGGGCTCTACTGGGCAGCCAAAGACAAACGACCTTCTCCCACATGGCACATTTACAGTGAAGAGCAGGGAAGGATGGTACAAGCTGCTTACCAGCTCAGAGCTGAGCTCCTGTTTCATCCGCTGCTTATCACGGGGATGCACAGCTGGGTCTCTCAAGTACCGAACAGCCTGGGAGATGAGCAGGTAGAAACAGTTTTCCATTGTAAACATGAGCAGAGACCTGTGCAAAGAAACACACATCAGCAGGAGTCAAAAAGGTCAGCACGCTCTAGTTTCAAGGTCAAAGGCTCTTAGAAAGACTTCACACACAGGGTACATAGGAGGGAACACTGTTACTGTTCACGTTCTGCTCAAGCAGTGTCACCCAAAAGCTACGGTTTGCAGAGCAGAAACCCCTCTGAGCCATCAGGGAAGTCTGATTTAAAAGTACTGGTAAATAAGCATCAAACTACTCTTGAACTGCATCTAAGTGGTTGACTTAGGAGGGCATGGCTTCACACACCCTCCCCCAAAAAATCCCTGCTTGCTTTGGAGAGCTTCTGATGGGCTGTCTGAACTTCCTGGATTCAGAGTGAGAAGCTCTCAAGCTACACACATGCCTCTAAACATCAGTTCTCATCGAGGAGCATTAGGTTCTGCTCCTTGGCCATGGCTAAATCAAATAGCTAGAAACTTACTTCAGGGTTTTTGTTCCCTCTTGCGTATTCAGCCCTGCAGCCTGAGGGAAAGGTTCCTTCTTCTTATCCAGCTTGGAGGGAAAAAAAAGACAGGCATTAGAAACAGGAGATACAAAAGAAGAAATGCTCCTGCTCTTCAAAGCAGCAGTTGAACAAGGGCTCTGAGGCCACTGCAAATGCTGTGCTCTCCAAACAGAGATGGCTAGTACCTCTCCCAACATGTTAAGGGCCACGTTGACTGTGGCAAGGAGGGTCCCAAAGGAAGGCGCGACATCTGAATCAAAGGCTGGTGTGGTGAAACTCAAAACGAAGAGCACGTTGTACTCAGCAAGGTCCAGTGACTGCGGAGAAACAGAAAGAGGAGCAAGTGACCCCTGAGGCCATGAGTATGCTATTATCAGAGTAACAGGAATACCTAGTCCCTGTATCACACTTTTTGTATGAAGAACTAGAAGCACTGAGATAATTTCCCAAATCTCAGGTATACAGATGGAGCAGTAGAAAGCGTCTGTACAGTACTGCACAGTCAGACTATTCCTCACGTGAATGAACCTTCTCCAACTCCCGAGCCGTACAGCTTGCCACCAAGTGGCAACCTAAAGTAATGCCTGTTTCCAGATTGTTTTCAAAAGCCCAAGCATATGTACCTAGAGGCATAGGAAAAGGAAGTTACCTATTCAAAAGTTAGCAGCAGGACACTGCCAGAATCAAGGATTAAACCTTCCTTTTCAGAACATGGAGACCAGCCACTAGGTCACACCAACACAGGAGGATAACAAGAGGATGTCTTTTCTGAAGAGTGACATACTGAGGATACAGCAGAACAGCAGACAGATGTATGGTGGGGTCATTGTCTCACACAGGACAGAGTGTGCCTCATGGCATAAACCCAGGACATCACTTGAAATGCTGGGAACTCTCCCCCCTTCAGGGAGCAGCACCTCTCCTCTTTCTTAGAATCTTAGACTGGTTTGGGTTGGAAGGGACCTCAAAGATCATCTAGTTCCAACCCCCCTGCCATACGTAGGGGACACCTTCTACTACACCAGGTTGCCCAAAGCCTCAACCAACCTGGCCTTGAACACTTCCAGGGATGGGGCAGCCACAGCTTCACTGGGCAACCTGTTCCAGTGCCTCACCATCCTCAATGCAAAAAATTTCTTCATTACCTGATCAAGGAGGATCTGGCAGACATCAGGGGTGAAATGGCGCAGAGCAGCAAGAGATTTGCTGAGGATTTTCAAGAGGCTGTACTGCACTGTAAGCAGTGCTTTCTGCTCTGCTGCCTCTGACTCAGGGCTCGGATGTTTGGATGAGGCTTGGGGATTACGCTGCACTCGTGGAGTAACACTTGATGGAAGGGAATCACCATTTTTTGTCTGTGAAGAAAGGAAAAAATAAAGTCTTGAATGCAGATATGATTATTTTGCACTACTTTCAGGAAAGAAAAATGCTATGAACAAAAAAAAATGAGGAAATAAGGCACTCAAATTCTGTCATCTGCTAGAAGCATGAGAATCTACACGTAGTGTGCAACAGGGGAGGCACTGCATTGCAGGGAGGCAGCTGCAGAGGCTATTCAGATTCCACGTTCCAGAAAAAGAATGTCCAATCAACACACCAAGCCTTAGCCATGCTGAAATAACACACCAGTAGTAATGCATCGTCCCTGCCTCATGAATCAAAGGATTCCCCAAGAACAAGAGCTATCTCTACTAAACAAATTAAATCAGATCAAGGACACTAGGTCAACAGTGGCTTAATTGATGGCACTACAAAGTACTAGAGCAATGCAGCTTTCTTGCTGCAGTGTGGGCAGCTATAAAATGGTATCAGCACCATTCAAACACAGGCTGCTGTTTCTCTAGGACTGGCTTTACACAGTCCAGAGTTTTTAGAGTCCAGAGTACTCTTTGCACGTTCTTTTTTGCTGTGGAGAAATGCAAATCCTAACTATTGATGATTGTCAATAATCACCGCTAGGATTACTGACAATCAACTCAATATCCAAGAGCCTGGATATCGAATAATATTTGTCTTTTAACAGGGAGCACGGGCATGCAACACTCCTAACTTACATTTTGGCTTACAGTCCCCATCCTCACCTGCAGGTAGTGCTGGAGCATTTTGCGGCTGTGCAGGAGGGAGGTACAGGCCTGACACAGGTAACACAGATTCACCTGAAATAAATAAGGTGAGGGAGAAATCTCTTAAAAGTTCAAAATCCATCTACTCACTACCGTTGGCAGAAGCTAGAAAATCCAGTCAAACAGAACACGGTGATCGTAAAGGACCAATGCTGTCTCTTGATTTCAGAGTATTTCCTCAGGGTCACCTGGCGCTGAGAGCAAGATACTGAATTCCCCAAGTTATTTTTCCAAGCTACCATCTGTCATTCCCCAACAGTTACCTTTCCTCACTCGATTCAGACAAGGTACTGACAGAACAGACAATTAAATGACCTCAGCAACAGCTCCTATTAAAAGAGCAGCAATAAAAAGGGGGTATAGTGCCATTTTCTCTTAACACATGCAAATCCCTGTATTCTAAAGCAATGTATTATCCACAGCAGTATCCTGATTCCTACCTGCATGTCCCTCATAAGCTGTGGCAGGTGGAAATGCCACTCCTTTGTGAAATTTGAGAGCTGAAGAATGAAGCCAACAGTGTGGTCGGCCTCTTCCAGACAGGCCAAGCTCTGTACTGTCCGTACTGCGTTCAGGCACTGGAAAGGAGAGCGAAGTAAATCAGGGCGATTACAGTTAAATCACAAAAAGCCCATTCCCTTCTCGGGAAGAAAAAGCTGAAGATGCAGAAGATCTGCCCTTAGGGACAGACGGTGCATTCATGAATGTAGTGGCACAGCACGTGGGTCGGACTCAGAGCACTTTACGTTCTCAGTCAGAGGTCAGTGCATTTCACGAGCTGTGCTGCCCTACAAGACGACAGCTATTTGTCTAGGGAGCACACTTACAGACCCGTCATTCAGCACCTGTGTACAAACAGGACCGTTCCGCACATCCGCACTGACACGATCCGGCCAGTACAAGTATTTCAGTACTGTGGGACATGAGAGCTTGCTGACCCGAACAGTGACTGAACCCTCACCACGGCACTTTCACTATCTGAGCAAGGCTGAGCTGAAGCCACCTCCAAGAACAGCTCTCATTTTCTTCCAGAGCAGCGAGCCCCAGAGTGAGTTCCCATCAAACTCTGACTTCTGCTACTGTGTTGAGTAAGCGTTTTAAACATCTGTAGCAAAGTTATAACCCCAAGAGTGAACAGGATGAACAGATGGTGACAGCCCAGCTTCAACAAGCATCAAAACAATCATCCCTGCCTGACCACATCCTTTGTATATTCTACCCTCCTCCTCTCACTATTTAATTATTTCTACTATAAATCTTTGAGGCAGGAGCCTCTTTTCAATGCTTCTGCACTGACATGTTTCCACTGTTATTGCAACACGGAAGCCAAGCAAAACCATCACAGAGAAAGTATGTGACATACCTGAAGAATCCTCTCTTGATGGACACCGACAAAGTCCAGTGCTTCTGTCAGAAAGTTGTATCTGAGTGTTTTAAGAAGGCGTTCCATCAGTGACATGGAGAGACGATAGACCCCAGGCCAAGAGGGGGCATCCAGAGACTTTCGAGACGAAGCAGATGTCTGAACAAATCAGATACAAAAATAAATTACTTATTTACACCACTGCTCAGTGTGGCACACGCCACAAACCCTCCACACCATTTTGGAAGTCTCTGGGCTCTAGGGGCGGCTGCTGTCCTCCTCAGACCAGAAGGGCCCTGCTCCAACCACAGCCAGCAGGACAGGGCATGGTAAGCTTTCCTGGCATATTCCCACCCAAAAGGAAGCAGCACCCACCTGAATGGCTCCGTTAGTGCTGAGCTGGTACACGCTCAAGAGGGGCAGGCAGACACTCTGCGTGACGCCAGCTCCAGCCACTGCTGCTGCTCCCTGCAAGTCACAGAACAAACTATGGTTAAAATCTGCATGTCTCCTCTCTGAGACTACAGAGACTTATTTTGGATTAGGTATTTCTGTGCTTTCCACTGTCACCACTCTTTTAGAGAACTTTCATCTACACACACTTCTTTTATGTTGTTAAAAATCCAGTATCAAGAAAAGCAATACTCTTCTTCCACTAAAATCTAAGCTGCATAACTGTACTACAAATTCCATTTTGCTGTGACCAGGTGTGGTACATACATAATCTTGGAAAAGGGCTGGTTTTGGAACAACTTTGTTTCCACCTAAAGCCCCACAGAAAGTTCAACTTGTAATAGACAAATAATGTTTTATTCCAACTAAGGAGAAAGCAGGTTCCAACACTTAATGCTGTTTTAACTCAGGCGGGGAAATTTGCATTGGAGAACACATTCAGGGAAAGTGCCTGCTCTAAATTACAAGTCTGCTCTGGCTGGCTCAGCTCTTCCATTCGACACATCCCACTATCAAGAACAGCAAGGCAAACTAAGCAGATGTACATACAGGACCTACAGCTTGCCAGCCTCTAAAAAACCTCTTCACCTACAGATCGTTGTTCAACTGCATCGCAGACAGAATAACGAGATACGTGGTTCCTATTAAAAATGTATAGCTCTATGCTCTCATTTCTCTGCACCTCTCACCTGTTGAGTCCTTGCTAAGGTCAGCAGCAAATGTAATGAGGCCTCTGTGAAGTGAAGGTTTTGTTTAACTCTCAGGCTGATCTCCAATGCAGCAAAGATAGTAGGAAGCACAGGGACTTTCCTAGTAACCTGTAGCCAGTAGTCTCCATCTTCATCAACTTCACAGAGCTCTTTAGCCAAATGCAGACCCAGAACACACACCTGCAGCGACAAGGGAAGGAGAACGTGGTATAGACCTGACATGGATACCAAGAAGATCTTGAAAGCATTTACTAACACAACCTAAAACTTCAATCATTCTCAGAATCATAAATTAAGGCACCTGGTATCCCTCACACTGTACTCTGTACACTTCCCAGCTGTATTAGCAATTGTTGAAAATGTTTTTAGGGAAGATCTGAATAAGAGGCAGCAACAGCCAATTTCTCAGACTGATGCATGCCAAAAAGACATGGAGGAGTTCTGAGATGGAAAATGCCACAACTTCTTTTGAAGGCAACAGGCTGCAAGAGAAAGTTGTTCCAAACATACATGGAACTTCCGTCTAGAGAGAAGAAACATGGCTGCAAAGCAGATGAACAGGTCCTTTACCCCATCTCGCTGGTCTTTGTGTTTAAGTCGGGAGGCATCATCTGTTTCCATGCTGTCCCTGTCATCTGCAGCATCTCCGGAGGTCAGGGTGTGTCGAGTCTGATCAAAGAGCGCAATGACCTCATCTTGGAGTGTTTCACACACGCTCAACACCAGCTGGGAGTACTGTGGAATCTCATTCACTGGGACACACACAGAATAGACAACAGTTAACACACAATCCTTGTACTTAGGTTTCCAGTTTAGCTGGTAACATCATGGGGCCACATATCTTGGCTTTAGTATTTATTCTGTTTTCATTTCAAAATCTAAAAACCGGAATGTGAGGAACTAAGTTAGATGATTAAGTCTAGGAGGATATAATGAGGGATTAGATGGTCATCTGGATAACAAATTGTGTAGTTTTACCAAGAAGTCATATCAAGACATCTCAAGGCACAGATCAAGCACTACTATAGACAGGTTATCCCGTAACTGCTCACAACAGCACTTCCTACTCATTTCTCCAGATCGCTGGTACTGGCCCATGCAGATTGGGTGCAGTCTATGTCCTGTGAGTCCATATAAATACTACATCCTTATCAAAACCATTATAATAAATTGCACCACCTTTTACCAATAAGACTGTAATCTCAAATTCAACAGCAAAGAAAAACATTTTAAAACAATCCAATCCTCCACTTTCTATTTATTTTCCAAAATACTGGGCTTGCAGAGCCCAAGCAGTGGGACAATGAACACAGAGAAAGGTAAGGTGGTACACCTCTCCACACCACAGTTGCCTTTGTATGTGTTGTACAGAAAAATACTGCCCTGATTCCACTGAGGGTCTTCAAGTGCCACCGCAACGTAAGATGCCCCACAAGTGACAGGAGTGATGACCAGACTAGTTGCTCTGGTTTGCAACAAAATGTACCCTCGGGAGACTTTCTAGTGTTTGGGTCTTTTGTTATCTCTAGCTAGAAATCCATGTCAGAACCTATGCTCCATGGTCACTCTGTGAGATGGTGTTACTAGGGTGTCCCTCCCACACCTGCTGAGCTATTTTCAAAACCACATGGGAACTCTTTATCGTCCCTTATCAAACTGATCAAACACAGAGGTTATTGCTGGGGAATGACAAGGGAAGGGAAGACATACACATATCGTGAATTATAAATCTCATCTCTTTCTAAAACTAGCTAAAACAAGTAAGAAAAAAAGCAGAGAAGTACCACAGGTACTATGCTGACTATATTCAGCGTCCTGAACTACTACTACCACCATATGCATTTTTATCTTGGAAACACAAGAGTGTTAGGGTGTGCTGAGCCATGGCAGCCCTGCTCTTTGGTACCTGTACATACACCATCTCACCTTTCATCGCCTTCATTTGCAGCACGGTGATAAGAGCTGAGAACACTTTGGCTTTGCTTTTCTCCATCGTCTGCTTATCTGTCTGTAGTATTCCCTCCAGAATCTGCATCAAGGAGTTTATGATTTTATCCACAGAACCCAATTCACTGACAAAAAAAAAAAAAAAAAAAAAAAAAGGAGAGTACTTGACTGAGCTATGTGTATAAGCTATATGATCCATACAAATAAAAGCAGTTCTTCCAAGTAAAGTTTAGGTCGTCACCTGGATCTCACTAAAGACATTCCACAGCACAGTGAGAATGCAGGACTATCACAAAAACTTTTTTGATACACTTCTCATCAGCAAGCAGGAAGCCAAACCATAAATGTACTGCTGCAAGAGATTTCAGCAACAACCTACAAACACTTGCCATCCCAAAAGAGAACTCTATAATAAGGCTTCAGTTTCTTCCCCAAATCACTAAGGGAATCTCCTAGAGCAAAAGAGTTAAACATTAACCTCCCAAGTTTTCATGATTAGTGGTGGCTAATAATTATCCAAACAAAATACCTACCTCTTCCACTGTTTGAGCAGGATCAGAAGAAGGGTACATAGCATAGACCCCAGATGCAGACAGGATTCTGACGTGGGAACTAGAAGCTAAGAAGAAATACTGCAAGAGTTACAGTTGCAACGGTCACATGTAAGAACACTTAAAAAAATCCTCATCCCACGCACCACCACCAAATAATCAGATTTCCTCTTCAGCAGCTACCAGCATCGACGGAACCAGAGCCAGGATCTTCTGCAAGGTCACCCAGTGATGACAAGAACAACACATATAAAATATTTATTAAAAAATTCTTCAACTCAGGGAGAGAGACTTTCTTTTAGCCCAATTTCACAGGATCTAAAAAAAAAACTATGATGGCAAGCAACTGAGGAAACAGAACTCCTTATAGTACAAAGGAGATGAGCAACTGGAAAATTAAAGAACTGACAAGAAGCAGCACCTACCAAAACCTTGGTCCCATTTAGCACATCCAGAAACAACTGCTGATGAACTGCAGAATCGGTCAGATGCATTATATCTGCCTAAGATCCACAAAGACAGAGATCAATCTAACGCAACAAAAGATGCACCTTCTTAGCAGTCTAACATCAGTCTACTGGTTTAATTTGTGACTTTAAGAATTCGCCAAATTTTTTCAAAAATTTCAGCCAAAACTGCTGACTGATGCAGTTTTACAGAAATCACTGAAGTACTACATTAACAGTTGACAGGGAGTCAGCAATGACTAATCGCATCCCTGCCTCACTTGGCTTGGCAAAATCTCTTCTGTATTACAGAATTACTTAGGATTGCTATTAAATTTATTTATTATCTCCCTCCTCTGCTCATACAATAGCTTATTTTGATCAAACAACAAAACCCCACTACTCTAACCTCCAGCACCATACTCATGTCAAGTTGTGTTCTAAGCATACATGCAAGAAAATTGGGAAAAAAAATCAGTGAATTCTTCATTATGGCTTAGCTGGCCCTGAGAAGTTGACATTATATTATTCAAAATGCTAACTCCAGATTATGATGAAAGATGAAGTACGAGGTAGCTCTTACATGGCTAGCAGAGATGATCAGCAGCATCCGCCAGGCTGAGATCAGTATTTCATATTCTGCCATGGAGGCACAGCTGGCACCCTCCGTCTCTGCCACGTGATGTGCCAGAAACTTCACATATTCTGACCAATAGGTGAAGCGCTTTTTGTTGGAGAAATTCTTCAGCGTGTCTTTCAGGGACTGACACAGTGAGCCCCTGACCAAATCAAGAGGAGAAGTTATCTTCATTTATTCTTTGGTCAGAAAATACACTTCTTCTGAGATTCAGGTAGGAAAGCCAAGGACACAGTTTGCAAGTGAAGGTTATTCCACATATTAGACCTGTGCAGGGAATCCCACTTTTTGCATCAAATGTGAAGGAAAAACCATGATCCCTGATGAAAATCTGTGATTTATTATTTTTTTTAAAAACATAGATTTTAGTCAATCCTGACTTTTCAATGTATTAAAGGGCAGTTATGTTCAATAAAACAAAACGAGGAGAAAACTACTAAAATGTTATTCAGCAAACACTATACTAGGCGTACTTAGCTTAGTTTACAATTAGTTTTAATAAATACTGTATATTCTCATTCCAGGCTACAAGGAAAATACTAACATTCTCATCTACAGGCTGCAGAAACACTGTAACATCACTTTCTGCAACTGGTGATTGCAAGAATCTCAAATGCACATTTGTGATTCGTTTATACTGTTTCTCCCTCGTTTTCACAGGATTACATGTACTTTGTCCCTCAAAGAGTGCATGGTCTATCAAGATTTAACACACACAGTTTAAATAATTAAAAAGGAGAGGGACTAAGGCAAGACTACCAGAGACTCACTTGACAGCATAGTAGATCTCCAAACAGATGATTTTCATGATTAAGGCACAGGTATCCAAGACACTGAGCTATAAAGACACACACACACAAAAAAAAGCAAAATCTGAGCACCTAGCTCCGCAGAGTAAGTGGAATTCTGATTTATCCCTACACATCCACTTGTGGTGGCTGATACTCTAGTTTTGCAGGAGATTTGTTTCTCCCACGATAGCAACAGCTGTGTCGTTTGACCATGGACCAGTGATAGTAAGGAAAGAATGCTGTGTTCGAAGCAGCACTCTGGGTGAGAGCATGGGACTTTCATAATGAAGGGGAAAACTCCTACAGAAAGGAATAATAACAAGAATCTAATCAATTTCTCTGTGATACTATTAGTCAGCCTGAGCTATGCTTAAAAAAAAAAAAAAAAAAAAGTTTATTTTGCCAAACAGCACAAAAGGGACAGTATGGATAAGCTACAGACAGCGTACTTTTCAAAGAGTGTTACCACAGATGCCAGGTAACATCTAGCCTTGTTTCATATGTGAATAAAGAGCAGAGAATTTCAAAAGACAGTACATGGCTGTACAGTCCCTGCAAAGCCAGAAAGCTTCACTTCATCTCCTGCCTGTGTTTAAACCACTTGATCATACTCCCGCTGAGAAAACTGCAAGCAGAGGGAAGAGCCACACACATCCCTTAAAAACCTTTTCTGATAAGCACACAACTACCTTCATTTTATTTGGATGCAACTCACCTCTGATGATTCGGAAGGTGGAGGAAGGGTCCCAAAGAGAGGACTGGTTAAATTTTCCCAAAACTTTGGCCTAAAAATTATACAAAGAAGTAAAATGAGTTATCTCCCCCACGCCACATGCCTAGCTGCATCTTGACCATTTCAAACTTCCCAGAAAATATGCTTTGGTAAACACCAGCTTATATAGCTTTGTATGAAAGAAACAGAATTAAATATATTTGCTCTGAACATGCACACATGGGCTTATCTTCTTTCCTGAGAGACTAAGTTCAAAGCCCACACACCGGACACTCTTACCAGGGCACGCAAAGACTAAGATGCAAATGTTCCTGAAAAGTCTAATGCGCCAAAGAAAAAGTGTTTTGGAAAAAAGGAAGGTAAATGCATTGTAGAAAAACAACAACTCACTTTGTACCCAGAACTAGCATGGCACTATCTCGACGGTCCTGCCACAGAGCATGCAGGAAGGCAATGGCAGCACGATGCAAGAGAGGAGGGCACCAGTACCTCTCCTGTTGTTCGGAGTCTATCAACTCTAAGACTACTTGGAGGCAACTCCACTCCCCTAAGCTGAATTTCTAAAGCAAAAGGAAACAAAAGAGAGGTTACATCACAACACAACCACTACGTAGGCACCTATTAAAGCAGAATGTGCTTGATTCCACTTCAACAATACACAGACAAATAAATCTTGAGTACATGATGCCATCATATATTTTGTGTAAGACTACAAGGAATGTAGTCATAACACAGGAGAGAATAAAAATATTTTTAGGTGAACAAAAAATGAGTTACGCTAAGACTTAGTAAGACCAAGTGCTTTCAAAAAGTCCCAACCCAAGAAGACTTTGAACTGCAAAGAACGAATTCTGGAAAACTGATATTGTCCATTGTACCTCAATCTTCAGCTTTCTCAGTGGCTGGCCACTCTCAGAGTCAAGAGAGAGGGCGACAGACATCTCTGGTCTGACCCAGTAGATGTTCTTACCTTAACTCAGTATCTGCCTTGAAACACTGTGAAAAGTTTCTCTTTGGCTACAGGGAAAAGTGAAAGCGGGACAGTGGCACATCCACTAATGGCAAGCACAAGCTGGCATTGTCTTTCCAGGAGGCACACCAGGTTACAGGTAAGAACGATCACGTTTTAGAGCCTAGTGCCGTAAGACTGCTACGTACGCGACAATAAAAGACTAGTGAGTCTTTGGGCAAATATATGTTATTGTACCTTTGACCCCTCACTGCCATCCTTCAATTCCAAGTTCAGGAACAGCTCAATGAGCCCAGGTTGTGTCTCCACCGCAACTGTGAGGAATTCCAGTATCATGACCTTAATACGCATGTCCTCAATCTTGCTCTGCAGGCGGATGAGGAAGGCATCACGGATGGCAGCAGCATCACTGCCAAGGCAGGCATAAACAGACATGGGAGCAACCTGCAAAAGGAAAGGAACATCAGAAGCAAGAATATCCAAACTCTATAGAATGCTTCTTCTCTGTACAAAAGGTGATTTGCATTTCAAATTGAAACTCCAAAATATTTTATAGTGAATCTACAAACATATGTGAGGGAACTCAAAAGTAAGTTGTCATTAAGTAGGAAGAAACTTGCAAAACGATCCAAATTTTCCTCTTTGGCAATTCTGCTCTCTATTTCTCCTATTTCTCAAGGGTTATGACAAAACTGGAAAAGGCAAAGAGAAAAAACAGTTTTGGAATACTGCTTCTTGAAATAAATAAACCCAGAGCTGGATTTATATGCTTTAATAAAACTGCAAACACATTCTCAGAAGTTTAGTAGCCAAAAAGAGTAAGTCTAAAAGGCAAAGCTGAAAGCTCCTGATAAACACTTAAATAGGATCCTCTTCTCGGTAGCACGTTAAAGTTCCAGGTGAGGTGGTGTAGGAATTGTATGTAGGAATGTAAGTTGAGAAAGTTGCTCAAAAAAAATGGAAAGAGATCAACTGGAGGTGCAAAGACTTGGCAGAAAACACCCCACTCATGTGAAGCCTCTCAGTGACTGAGTGACTTCTGGAAAGGATTACGTTAAGCTAAGGGCCCTCTGACTTCCAGTGTGCTCTACCTTACAGCTTTCAGCCCACACTGCCTTCAACCGACTTGCATTAAGCTCCCTGACACTAAAAAGCCTGAAAAAACAATCTTGAAAGAATTTCGGTGGTGCAACCAGTCGCAAGGGGAGAAGCACAGCAGCACTTGTGGGAGTCTCATCTTACCGTAGCCAGTCGTTTGAGCAACTGGATGGCCAGGCGTGGAAGTGCAGGGTCATACTTGTGGTAGATATATTTGGCCAAGACCGCTATAAGATTGTTTCCATGAGCACCTGGAGAGAATACAATTAAAATCAAAGAGAAGAAACTAGAACAAGATGTAACTATTTACCAAATACTGATTTCCATAGCAGAAGGTGAGCACTAAGTTAGTCTTCCAAAAGAACAAGGCATGGGCCCAGCCAGAGATACTAATGGCAGCTGATTTACTATATTCCGATTTACTATAGAGCTACACTCATCTCATTACAAAGCAGCAAAGAGCCACGTTTGCTTAATACTTTAGAGACTGTCCCAGAGGAGAAGAATGCCTTAGAGCAGGGAGAACAGGCCTTCTGCCATCACTAGAAACCACTTTTTGGAACCTCGAAATCTGAACTGCTGTTTGCAATGAGACACACACTGACTATTTGTAAATAACAAAAAAGCATACCTGCCCAGGCTGTGCCCATGGAGAAATACGTACCATGCTGAGTAAGTGCCTGTTCCAACGGAGACACCACACTAGAGGGGGGTTTCAACCGGATGACATTATTGGTAACCGAGAACGCCAGCTTAACTGTTTTGATCAGCAGGTGACCTTGGCCTTGTGACTCATCACTGTGTTTCCAAAAAGAAATGAAAATACGTGACTGTGTTGGCAACTGACAGTTATTATTTGCACAACATTCAAAGGGGAAACTCTATACTCTGTCAATCAGGGGTTCTAAGACATTTTTACTCAGACTGTCACGGCACCACATAACAGCTGCTGAAATACAAACCCCCGCACAGCCACAAAGAATAGCCTACCCAGCCCTGAGTTTACAGCATCAAACAAAAAAGAAAAATAGCCTGACAGCCTATTTTCACTTTTTTCCCCCCTCTTTGGGATACAGAGATTTAAAACATGTTAAGACAGAGGAAGAAACACTTACAGAACCATTCTCACAGAAATGATAGTGTAACAAAACTGGATGAAGAGATAAAACTGGCTCTAAGTCTGGTATTTTCCTAAGATTTTCCTTATCAGATAAACATTCTGAAGAGACAATAAAGCAAAAAAGTTTTCTCAGATAAGTCTCACTTTCTCCTTGACAAGTCTGGATTCCCTTCCAGACTTGTTTTGAAAGAAAAAAACGGCAGACTTTACCAGAAACAACCAGCTAGCAAGTTTGGCTGGCTATGTGTCAAGTAAGGCTGGCCAGGAAAAGAGAGCAGAGGAAAAGCAAGAGATTCAAGCCTCAGTGAGAGGCACATAAGGAGGTTAAAGCACTCAACGCTGGAGACATCTTCAATACTTCCAGAGTACTTCAAGCTACCTTCGGAACCACTCCGAAAAGACTGATCATCCTCAGCACTTCCAAAATTACAGTTCAAGCTTTATTAAAATTTACTCATGAGCATAGCTTCACTTGAACTGTGGTATTACTTGAAGATACAAAACTTCTGACACTGACTTGAATCTTATCCCTTCCAATTCACTCATGCAATCCTATAAATTGCATTCAAGTGAATTCCTTATTTAAAAAATGTAACTGCTAGCAAACGTTAAACAATTGAGCACACTTCTACACCCACCATCATGCTCCAAATGTCATTTAGAAATAGAAAACTAAAATAAGTGCATGAAACCATGCTAAGGCACATGGAGAGCAAGG